GTACCTGATCACCTTCCTCTCCTCCAAGTGCTTCAAAATGGATTCCTTGAGGACCTGCTCCATGATTTTGCTGGGGACTGAAGTGAGGCTGACCTGTCTGTAGTTCCCCGAGTTCTTTCTTTCCTTTTTTAAATATGGGCACTATATTTGCTTTTTTCCAATAGTCCGGGACCTCCCCCGATTGCCATGAATTTTCAAAGCTAATGGCCAATGGCTATGCAATCACATCAGTCAACTCCCTCAGCACCGTTGGATGTATTAGATCTGGACCCATGGACTTGTGCATGTCCAGCTTTTTCCTTTTGCATACACAGGCAATACTTTGTGGGCCAGATCCTCAGCTAGTATAAATCACAGTAGTCCATGGAAGTCAGTGGAGCTACATTAATTTCATCATCTAAGGATCTGGTTTTTTATCTTTAATATCCATATTTTGATATTACACTGCATATTTATTAGGGATAGACAAACTGGTTCACAAAAACATAAAAATCAATCCCAATCTTAAAATTACCCAGTCCCTTTTTGGATTTGAATGAATATCCCTCTCTTCCTTCTCAGTCTCTGACGGCTATCTTATTTCCTCCTGAAATCCATCTTGTTACTTGAACAGGTGGTTCACTCTCCACTGGGTCATTTGCTGCCTTCAAGTATCCAGTATTTTGGAGGCTAATTTCAATCAAAGGCAATTAATTTTTGAGTTACCTGTGACTGTCAAAAGCCAGGAATGACCAACTGAGGAGGTGAGGAATGAATGAAAACTCCCCAAATTCCGTTTGATTCTAGCACTTTCAAATACAACCCACAAATATACCTCGTCTTACAGGAACTATTCTTTTCTTTTGAAGTTTCATATGTTATCTGAACTTGCTGGCAGCGTATGCAAAGTGCTGGTGTTTGCTCTTCTTGTGTGAGGGTAAATATTATATATGTATGTATAGGCCAAGATATTCCAAAGCAACTACGGATTTTTTGGAAAGCGGGGGGATATCCAAATTAGGACAGTTTAGCTCTGATTTTTCAGCAGTGTTGAACATCCACAATTTCAGCTGGAATTAATTGGAAGTGCAGAAAAAATCAAGCCCAAGAGATACCTGGGTCCAAGATCCAAGAACCGAGACATCCAACATCAGTGGTTGCTTCTGATGAAGTTCATGCCATGATCCCATCTTACAATTCTTCTAATAACTAATCTTGTAATTATGAATTATATCAATTTTATCATGAAGATCAGCCCAGTCTATCAGGAGAGATAACAGGGGTCACTTGGGCACTAGCCAGAAACTTGCTCTTTATAGGACCTCTGATTATGAAAAATGCTGATCTCAACTTGTTCACTCAGGCAGTAGGGAAGACAGTAGGTGCAGTGTATATCAGACATTTGCATTTGTTAACACAGACCAGGCCCTTAAATATTCAGATTTAAAGTTGTCTTTATTGCATAATACCTTTTCCATGTTGAAAAAGAAATAGTCAGAGATGTATTTCAATTTTATTTCTTAACTTTAACGCAGCAGTTCCCAAATATTTTGCCTGCATGAATCCATTTTCAGATTTTACCACTTCCCTTCACCCCATGCAATGTGGAGGATGGGTTTTTTTCACAGTATATTTGGTAAAGCTCTAGAGTTGAGAGTAGCCTCTGAACCTTTTGAGGCTCTTCCAATCACTTAAGGGGCAATAGCTCAGTGGTTTGAGCATTGGCCTATTAAACCCAAGGTTGTGAGCTCAATCCTTGAGGGGGCCATTTAGTCATCTGGGGCAAAAATTTGTGTGGGGATTGGTCCTGCTTTGAGCAGGGGGTTGGACTAGATGACCTCCTGAGGTCCCTTCCAACCCTGATATTAGATGAATATTTAAACTGCATGGAATAGGAAGTCCTATTTGAAATCTAAACTCATGTTAACTACTGAGGTTTGTTACCTTTTATTTGTTACTCCCCACCACAGTCTTTATACTGAAAATGGCCTAAGAAGATCAAGGACAAAGAGAATGTTTGTGCTGCCTGAGAGCAACTTGCTCTTATGCAACAAGGATAAGTAGATGTAAGTTAAAATGTATTTAGATTTATTTTCTGTTGCCTTTATGCTCTGCAAATGATGGAATGCAAATAATCTGAAAGTGAAATTTTATTGCAAGGTCATCTCCAGATGCTAACATTTCAAACTTCATTATTTTAAATTCTCAGAGCTTATAAAAATGACAGGAGTATAGCCAGCAGGAGTCAGGCCCTCAGATGGTATAAATACAGATAGCTCTACTGATTTCAATTGAATTACACCAATAAATACTTGCTGCAGATCTGCTTATTTTGCTAGGGCTAAGAACTCCCCATCCCCCGCAAGGTGGCATTATTCTTAGGTGACATGCCACAAAAGTTCTCTGCTGAAGCAGGGCCAGTGCAAGGAAGTTTCGCACCCTAGGTGAAACTTCCACCTTGCACCCCCCCCCAGCCCTGCGGCAGCTCCCTCCCCTGCCCTGAGGCGCCCCCTCACCATGGCAGCTCCCCCCATGGGGAGCTGTGTGGCAGCTCCCCACCCCAGCTCACCTCTGCTCCGCCTCCTCCCCAAGCACGCCGCCCCCGCTCTAATTCTCCTCTCCTCCCAGGCTTGCGGCGCCAAACAGCTGATTAGCGCCACAAGCCTGGGAGGCGGGAGAAGTGGAGCGGCGACCGTACGCTCAGGGAGAGGGCATAGGAATGCTGTAAAAAAAAAAATTGGGGGCACCGCTTTTTGGCACCCCTAAATCTTGGCACCCTAGGCAACCGCCTAGTTTGCCTTAATGGTAGCACCGGCCCTGTGCTGAAGGCAGCTAGCAAGAACCTCTTGTTAGAATCTGACCACCACCAAACAAAAGGGAAAGAAACCCCAGATGTGTATCCAGCACAGAGGGAATCAGGACTAAAACCTTGATCCTTCAGGCTCAGAATTCTGCTGACCCTCCTCATAACAATGGATGGGATCAACCAATTAGGAATTTTGAAGACATATAATGAGATTTTAGCCATGTGGTGGAAACCTTGCCAACCTTTTCCTAAGCTTGAAAACACACCAATAAAACATTTTTGGTGCTCTCCAAATAGTAAAAATTAATGGAATACTCAACTTTCACAAACTGTCATAAATACAAGAGAGTTTACAGTAAATACTGCACAGAGAGTGAACTGGAAAAGTATATCTAGAGAATTTTAAATTCTGCAGCTAATATTTAATTTCACAGCTCTAATAGTGCCCCAGCTAAGGGTTAGGGTTTTTACATTTTGGCGTCTCAAATTGTATTAAATGAGGTGGAATGTTCCTTTAAGAACCTGGCACTTTGAGACTATTGGCTCAAGCAACAAAAGCCCCGCCCTTCTGAACATTGACTGTGGGAATAAGAGATGGTGGAGCGCTGTAGTAAGACTTCTCTGGAATTTGGAAAGTAGGATGGCTACTGTACACTGCATTTTGAGCATTCTGGAGCTGTGACTCTGTTTATCTGTTTAACTTTATATGTTTCAAAATAAACAGCCTTTATCTGAATAGGCGACAGTTGGAATTCATGTTGTCATTCCAGGCAGAACTTCTCTTCATGGAATGCGTTCTATGAAAGAGCCATTATGGAGCTCCCTGAAGAAGACCAAAAGAGCTTTGGAACCTCTTTTCAAGGCACAAGCAGAGAACACAAGACTAATCTAACAGGATGTACGGTACTGTTAGTACTTGCTGTATTTTCTATCAGTGTCATTATGTATCATGGTGCAGCTTCAGAATGCTTCAGAAATTACTAGGCCATCGTGTGAATGCCATACTCTCACTTGTGAGCAGTTACTCACACCCATTGTCCCAATGACTTCAATAAGAATACACATTGGGGTTACTGAGAGTGAAGGGTTCACTATCTGGCCATCTGTGATTAGAAATGATCAGTATCTGGCTCTGTCTTTTAACAAAACAAATCTGTATTTTTATTCAAATATATATGTAGCGCCCCCTCTCCACCAGGCTACCTTCTTTAATGCCAATCTGCTTACAGGTTTTGATGGACTGGCCTGGGTTCTTCTGGATCCCGCCACCCATTCAGCAGGTGTATCTTCTTTGTTTTCCAATTAATTTATTTGGCAGTGTCTCCACCCCCCTCGCTCCTTCCTGGCAGGGTCACCAGGGCAGCTTGGGGGGAAAACTCTAACCCAGGGTAATCCCCACTTACTTGCCAGATAGTTGGAGACTTCCAAGAAATAACACAAACACATACAATATATTCAACACAATAATTGTATTAAACAGGAAACAAATATACATAACATGGTAAAACACTATTTTTAGGGTCACCAGTGCCCATGCTGCTAATACCTGTGACTTTCCCCAGTCACGTGACTGGAGGTGACTGGGGAATGTAAGATTAGTGTCCCGTTGGTACGTGTACTTTGTTGGGGCCCTTGATGACCTATGAACACGATATCGTCTCTGCAGTGGTTTAGCAGTGTGGCTGACTGGGTTCAGTACAGTCCAAAGGACTCACAAGTGGGAGAAGGTGGTAAATCCCTCCCCAGTTTTAATACGCAGCAGGTTGTAAAATCCCCAGACCCTTACTCCCTGGCTTGAGACACAGCTCAGGGAATAGGGGGTCCTCAAAAGAAATTCCCAGACTGACTAACTAAAAGATGGTGCACTCAAAAACTCCATGAATGATCCTCAGGTTCAGAGATGACTCTGGACTCTTCAGTCACTGCAGAGCGGCTGATCTCTGCTGGCAGGGATCCTCTTCAGGCAGGAATCGGGCTGCTTCGTCCCAGGATTTCCCCTCACCACAAAGGGGCTCAAGGTGCAGGTTACACAACTGTACTAAAATCCAAACTGTAGTCTCCTAGTCCAGCATCCAGACACACACACAGCAGGCAGCAGCCCTGAACTAGCAGGCAGAGTAGAGCTGACCATGTGGTGACTGGTCTCACCTAGGGAGCTGGAGGGCTAACTCAGCCTGGCTGGGGAAGTTTCCCAGCAAAACTCTACAAACTGGGAAACAGTGGAGAAGGAAAAGCTGAGGGATCTTCCTTTCAGATCCCTAGAGCCCAGTTTTCAGGGGGAACCCTGTATGCAGGCCTGGGACTCACCAGCTCCCCACACAGCCAGTCCTGCCCTTGCCCTGGCTGGCTCCAGGCTGACTTAAAAATGGCTTCTCCCCTTTCCTGAACTCCCTGGGAGGGGCATCTCACTACCTATTGGTTGCCGGGCAGACTCTGAGTTTGCCTTGGCTCCCCCTGAGCTGCCAGCAGACAGGGCCCCAGGAATCTAGGTAATCTCCTTGGAGGGAAATGTGTTTGCATTATTCACCCAGCTGTAATCAGCAGTGCTGTTCTCTAAGCATGTTGGTGTTTGTGCCATCCTCATCAGCAAACTTGATACCCAATGCCAACTTCTGGAAACATTGACAGTAATTAGGGGCAATTGCGGCTAGGCCCCAGCAGAATTTTCTGATGCTTTTTCCCTCAAGCCTCCATAAGGCTGTACAGAGGCTGACTCTGCTCTAGTTCTCTGGAGAAAAGCAGAAATACTGCAATGCTGCAGGCATTTCTGATCAGTGTGAGGCTTACTTCATAGAGGGATAGAGCTGAGCTGTGTACTGCTGACCCCCAGTCTCCTTCAGTCAAAGAAAGGATGGAAAGAGCCCAAATAAGTGAAAAGAGGGCAGGGGAAGCTCCCCGTGAATGGTGGGCTGGAGGGATAGAAAGGAATGAGTGGAGGCGGGGGGAGAAGGAGCTGGCTTCAGGCTAGGAATAAGTGTCCCATGTGTTCCTCTCTGCTCCTGGGCCTGTTCTAGCCCCTCCATGTCCTGCTCCTTGACTCAGATGTGTGTGTTTACACAGGGGTGGAGCCCCCACAATATTTCCATGGCTGGTGTGTTCTCTACCACCTCCTCCCAGCATTCTGCTGCCGTGAGCGGAAAGAGAGGGAGCGAGAGTCAGGACAAGTGGATCTCGGTAATGGGAGGGAAAGAGAGAGTAAGTGGGGTAGTTTTCTTACATGGAGGAATAGCAAAGGAAGGTAGCAGGGGAAATTGAGGATGGGACTGTCTGCACAGGGGAGGAGAAGTTGGCAGTGGGAAGGAAGGTGGTAGAAAGTGGGTGGAGGGCATTTTGGGAAGGGCAGAGAAGACGACAGTGCGCTGCACAGGCAGCATAATAGGAGAGCTTGCAAAGGGGAGAGAATCCTTGCATGTTGGGGAGGAGGGAAAGGAGGCAGTGGGAGGAGGCGCTGATGCAGAGGCAATGGGAGAAAGAGTTCCTTCGTTAGGGTGGGAGTGAGGGAAGGAAAGAGCTGTTTCTGCCATGTATATAGACCCTACAACCCATACCTAAAATCAAAGTCAGTCTGTCCACATTCAGAGACAGTAAAATGAGGGACTGGCTGCATGTTGCACTTCAATTTGAACCCCACTCTGCTCCCAGAATGGGAGATTTTAACATTGACTTAAAGTTCTGTCCCCTCACGTGTCTTTCTGAGTGCACAAGGCAAACTCAGAAAATATGCATATTCCAGATAGGTGGTTCTGGTAGTGCTGTCTATTAAGGTTGCCAGACACTTCCCATAATAAGACTCTGTTTTCAGTGACTTATAACTTTGCCAAACTAACTGCTTGGGGTGAAATTTCCCATGCATAGTGGCTCTGTCAGGTGGAAATGCTTTGGAATGTTTCAACCAAGATGGCTCACCCACTTCTGAGAGCGAAGCAAGGGTAGGGGAAATCCACAATGTGTGCTTCACAAACATTAACTTATCTTCACAACACCTCTGTGAGGGAAGGCAGTAGAATTATCCTCATTTTGCAGATGGGGAATTGAGACACAAAGATTAAGGTAAAAATGCCCACTAAGTTTGGGTGCCCAATTTCAGCTGCCTAAGATCTGATTTTTTTCCCCAGAGTACATAGCATTATATAGCACTTTATATGTTCCAAGCACAGCTCCCACTGTTTTCCATTGCAGCTGTGACTGCTCAGCCCTTCTGCAAATTGATCTCTAGTCAGGCATCCAGAAAATGATGAGTCTATAACCCCAAGTGACCCGGCCCCCATGGAAACTTTAGTTTAAGTGACTTGCTTGGCATCAAATAGAACTCTGTGGCAGAGGCAAGGATAAAATCCAGTTCTCCAGGGCAGTATTCAACTGCCTTAACCATAACACCATCCTATCTCTTCCTTCAGTCCCTTGCGTCATTCACTACACATCTTTTGGTTACTGCAACTAATGAGGCAGGCATAGGCACCAACTCCATGGGTGTTCCAGGGATCAAGCACCCAAGTGAAAAAAATAGGGAGTGCTCAGCTGTTGGGCTGGCGCCAATCAGCTGTTCAGTGGCTAGCAGGAGGTGCTCAGGAGAGGGCGGAGAGAAGTGAGCGGGAGGGGTGAAGGGGAGAGGAGGCGATGGGATGGAGTGGGGGGCTAGAAGAGGTGGAGTGGGGGGGGGAGGGGAGTGGAGCACCTACCAGGAAAATAAAAGTCAGGACCTGTTGAGGCAGGGGCCCTACACACAACAGCCTCATTCACTACACAACCCTGATTTCTCCTCTGAGTATATCCACTGTTTCTTGAAGAAGACACAGTTCCTGTTGAAAAAAATAGGATGTGATTATATAGATAAAGACAGACAATACCACACTGAATGCACACCAGGGGGATGAATTAAGTTTCACAGGCAACCTTAATATTGGCATTACCTAACTTTTGAGTTACTGACTTAGCAATCTTAATGTTCTGTTAACATAGTTTGTTGTCTACATTTCTAGGTTTAAAAAAAACCACCCTGAAAAAACATAATTCTATCACATGGGATCATATTGACTTCCACCTGGTTCATCAGCAGGGCTGGAAGCAGAGTTGACCAGAGGATGATGATTCTGGTTTGCAACAGTTATCAAGGTTTTGACATTTGTTTATGTTCCTCACTGGAATGAAAAAACAAAACCGTTCAAATATTTCCACAAAAGAATTGTGTCAGAATTGCTCTTTTCTCCTTGAAAATGTCAGGTCTTTGATTCTGGTCGCACGCTTGCGCTCTCTCTCCGGTCTGAAGTGACCATCTGGTCCTCAGAAGGCCTGGACTTCAGAAACCCTCCAGACAAAATCTTCATTGAAACAGATATGTCCCCATGAAACATTTCAGATTCAACAAAACAGCATATTCCAGCAAAAATACATTTTGGTAAAGGTGTTCCAATCAGCTCTAATTGGAACCTGTAGATCCACTGCACAGATCTTAGAGACTAGCAAATTTCGGGGGGGGGGGCTTTAGCCTTCCTTCTATGTCCAAACTTAGTTTCCTCACCCACAGAAATGTTGGGGTACACTTACTCCATAGGTTGGTATATTTGTATGTATTGATGACATATACAGACATATTAATGACATTAACTCATTCTCAGATTTGTTATTTCTGTCCTAACTGGTTATTTTGGTTCTTTCCAAGTTCCAAGTTGCAGTGTACCTGTTAAGTTTAAAAGGGTATGAACTTAGGAAGCCCCCTATACCAACCTGCTTCAACGCATCCTTTATCTATCTATGTTAAAGGTCGCAGCCATATATGGACCTTATGCTTTAACTCATCACCACCTATCTAGGTGAAAGGTCCCAAACATATTTACATTGACTTAGCCTTAGCTCAACATGCAGGATGTGGCCTGTAGGTCCCTTGTGTTACAGCCCAAAATACTCTAATATAAACCTATTATAATAAAACAAATAATCAAACCCATAAGAAACCTATCAGAAAAGATATATAAGCAAGCAGGTTAGCCCTATAGATATATGCACATATTTTCACAGCCTGTATGTAAACACTTCTGATGCATCATTTCAACCAAACCCATAGGTGGTGCCATTCATAGGTGTGCTCTTTTATGGTAGGGGGCAAATGCTTGCAGTGTATTCCTGTATAGCAGCAGGCAAGTATTAGTGGAATTCTCTGTTACAGTGTATGCACTTTACTTAAAAGGCCACAGTGTGGGCAAGAGTGAGATTACCTGAGTCATTGAGACAGTTACCGTTACTAGTCAGTCTCAGACTGGAATTTTATGTCTAGTCACTGCCCTGTTTTCAAGCCAGACTGGATTATACAACATGCTGACAAGTACTGAGAAGAAATCCTGCATCTAGGCAAATGTACAATAAAATCCAGGTCATTTTTCTGAATAGAGGTTGGGGCTATTGTTTTTGTTTTGATTTGGGGTTTTTTGGAAGTAAATGTGTTCAGAACAAAATATAGACTTGTGTCTGGATTTCTTTCTGCTGCAGAATAATAATCTTCTATCATCTTGTCAATTTTTCCAATGCCTGCTCAAGCGTTCTGTCAACAAAGGCTGAGCAGTTGCAGAGGAGTCTACAGGTGTCTAGTTCATCTTTATTTTCAAAGCAGGAAATATCTGGTGACATGAAGCACCATATTGAGGCTAAAGAATAAAATGGGAAATTATGGACCTGTGATTTCAGGGTTATGAGTATCAGTCTTTGTCAAGGGTAGAAGCCTAGGATCGGGTAACATGCCAGCCAGCATGCATTTAGTTTCTTCTAATCTAAGAAATACTTCAATTATTTTATGCAACACAGTCTTTTGATTCGGGGAGGTAGAGACAGATAAAGAAGTTGCTATGCAACCAAGCAGCCAGCTGGTGAGCTGAAGAATCCAGAAACAGGAAAATGTTTGCAATTAGGAATTGTCTGAAAAATACTAAAGGTAAAGTTTTAAGGTTGCTTCCCACTTTCACATTGACCATTGGATCTTAAAGACGTCTAAATGTACATCAGTAATCATTAGTGAAGAACTGAAGAGTTGTCACTCAGATCCAGATTAGATATAGCCTTGTAGTTCAGCTGTGAGGCCAGAAGACAAATAAAATTTGGATTTAGATTCAGTGATGATGAAATCCCACAAAAAGTTTATATCAGGGTATTTTTTTTTTTCCATTTTGAGTCTTGTTCGCAGCAGAGCTTGAAAATTGGACTCTCCATAGCTTTTTAAAATGCAACCTGAATTAGAGCCAAGGCATTGGTTCAGATCTGGGATTTGAATCTAGTATTTGGCAAAAGAGGTTATATTTTAATTTCGGCACTGAAATGATGTATAGTTCATGGTGTTGCATGATTCTGACACACAAACAGGTGAAACTTGATCAGTTTGCACCCCAAACCCTAAATGATTTTCAACGTCTGAACTTACATAGATCATGTGTGGGTAAAATGTCAGCATGAACCTGTGCGAAGTGAAACTACTGAATTTGGCTGAGTTTCAAACACAGGTTTAGTAGGAGAATTGATTGTCTGTAGAAATCATGGCAGTTCCTTTCTAAAAATGAAGACATAGTAGGCAGAAAATCTGGCATTATTCTTCCCTTCACTCATAGTTGTGAAAGGAAGTATATCTACTGTTAGGAAGGCCTGAACTTGCTATCTTGAGTGTTTTACTTAAAATGAAAAAAAAAGTTGCCATGAAAAATTTGGCTCTTTCTCCATCACTGACATATATACCATCAATTAACAAAACTTGATGGGAGCAGTTTTAAAGAAGTTTTATAACTGACTTTCTGCAACAGGACATAAAACATAGGCTGTAGCTATCACTTGTACCATATAATTAGTTGATAAATTCCAGGCTCAGGGATATGCAGGACTATAAACAAGTCTCATACCGCATTATTTTTTTCTATATAGGCTACAAAGATAGTTTATACATCCTGACTTAGAATTAATGTTATTGAATAAAGCACTGCTTCCTGCTGCACTCACGGTCATAATTCATCTGCGGGGTTATGCAGATTTCCTATTTGTTGAGATTGATGTTTAAGCAACTGACAAATGGCACCACAAATCCTTAATCGAATTATAGCCTTATTACTCAGGCTGGCTCTGTACATTGTGATAGATAATATTTAGAAAGTAATTACCATATTAAAGTAAAAATCAAAGCACCAAAGTAATAGCTCCAATTCTGAATGTATAAGCAAGGAAAGAAAGAGAAAATATAATTATAAAACGGTGAGTATGATAAACTGTGGAAGATTTCAAGGAAGACGAATAAGGAGAAAAAATGCTCTAAGGCTAGGTATGATAGTGGATTCAGCCACATTTTCAATTATTGTACATTATATCTAGCATCCATTATAAAGAGAGAAGTATAAGAAAACGTGCCAGGAGTACATATTAAACAGAATACTTTGGGGAAATTCTACAGACTACATTGGGGAAATCCTTTTCACACAACATGTTCCCTTATTTTGTATGTTATTTACATTTCCTTTGCAGTAAGAACATCCATATTTTTAAATATAAATTAATTCTTCTAGATATTAGTAAAAATGAATATCAGTTGTTGGATGCTCTTGAACATTACGAACACATACAATGAGTGTATAACTGTATGTTTCCAGGAAAAGTGGAAAATCTTTGTCTTTCAAAATAATATCTTAAAATACATAATATATAGAAGTTAAACTTGAATCCAGCTCATTCTGTCCTACAGCACACAAATCATATTTTATATGATATCTGTCATTTTAACAGACAGAAGGTGAAATCCTTCCCCATTCAAGTAAATGGCAAAACTCCTATTGGCTTCAATGGGGCCAGGATTTCATCCATTACATTGTAATGGTCCTCACTTGGGGTCTGGTTGGGGAGCATGGACTAGTGGTCATGGCCGCAACCCCCGACTGCCAAGGGGATTGGGGGGAGGGAACCCAGGCCCTCCCACTCCACTGGGCTCTGACCCAGGCCTTTTGGGCTACCAGTATTCTGGCAACCAAGCCTGCTTAACGCTGTCCTCCCTGTGCCTCTTCCTCTCATTCCCCTCCTGGGTCAGCTTAGTCCAAGGTTTTCGCCTGTTGGGGAAGTCCAAACCAAAATAAGAGGTGGTTTCCAATGTCCAAGGTCCACAGTTGCGGGAGAGGGGAATACTTCCCTCTCTGATTGTCTCTGGGGTAGGTTTTCCCTTCTCCCAGGGACACCCCCTTTGGGCAGCTGTGTCAGAGCCTTTAGGTTTCCCTCTTCTCAGCTCTGCACTACACTCCCTCTTCTCACCTCCAGCTCTGCCACCCAAATGACCTAATTCCCAGTCTTTTAATTCCTCCAGCAGATGGACCATTTGCTGCAGGTGGAGTGCGGTGGGGCTGGCTGAGCCCAAAATAATTCCTTAACCCCTTGTTGCCCAGTGTGGGGGCTTTACACCCCATCACATGTGTGTTATGGTGTAATATAGTAACAGGTGTTACTAACAGAACCGCTTCACCTGCATTCTGCTCACCAATCTAGTGGTCCATTCTAACTTCCAAGAGGATTCCAACAGCCACTACTGGGGGAAAAAAAGTATAAAAATATTTTCTCCTATATGCTGGACATTGATGAATGATTTTTAAGATCTGATATCATGTGAACCATTAGGGCTAGAATTGGTAGCTTTAAACCATTGGACATGGAGATTCCTACATCTTTCCCTGTTTTCCTTAACTCTGCCCTTTAGTGACACCTGAAACAATTTTTTTGACTTTTCATTTTGGCAAGGGGAAAAAAATCCAACAATAATAAAAATTCTGTTTCGGGTTGAATTTCGGTCCTGATTCTCCCCCTCCTCACCCCCCCATTTTTTTCTAGTTTGGCCATCAAAACAAACAAACAAACAAACAAACAAAAAATTTGCTTAACTCTACAACCTAATTTTTAAAGACATTCAGTATTTTATCCCTCTCCCTCATGGTTTTGCTGCAGGGCAGAGTTTAAAAAAAATGGGTGCCTTAATTGTTACATTTCCATACCTTAACATTTTGGGATTTCTTTTAAATTTGACGTAACCTCTGAATTTTCTGAGCTTATAATGTTGGCTTAGGGACAATTCAACATCTCTGTAATGTATTTTACCCATAATTCTGGGGTTGAAATGGGGTAGTTTTAAATCGTTGGACTCAAAGTAATTTTGTTTTAAAAATATTTAGAGAAACAAAAAATGGAAGGCAGCTCTTGCTAATTGTTTCTCTTACTGTCAGCTCAAGGGCATCGCTTCCACTATTTAGTTACAGGGGTTTTATTTTTTTTATAAGCCCTAGGGGACACCATGATCAAGACCAAGCAAAATAATCACTATTATTAATCATGTGTATTTTATTATTAAAGAGAAAAAAAGAAATCATTAAACTACACAAATGATAAGTTCGTTATACTTATTCTGTAATTTTTTTTCTGTATGGCTCTCTGTGGAGAGCTCTTAACAGAGTATACATCCCTGGGATTTTAGGGCAGGCAGACCTGTTGGTTATTAATAAATAACAGGACAGTTTATAGTTGGCAAAGTAAGCAATTTTAACTACATTCTATGAAACCAAAGAAAATATTAAGATCAGTTACTTAGAAAAAGACATTTAAGGAACTGTCTTGATACAGGCCAACCCTTAACCAATATTAAGAATCTTAAATCTAATTAAATCCCACAATTTCTTTGCTTACCAATGTTTAGTCCCTATTTCCTCTCCAGGAATATGTGGTCTAACCACTTGGTGACTAACCGGAGGAACTGTTAGTATTTCAAATTTTACAATAGTATTTTAATATCCCAATAAAATCATTATATGAATTTAAATCCATTGGTAGTGTCTTAGTTAACTTTCTCTTGCCAATCTATGTTGACATTTTTGGAAGGTTTTATTGGGGTGGTTTCTTTTGGATCCCCCCCCCACCCGTTTTTCTTATCCATGAATGACAGCTTGTTTGTAGATGACAGGATGAGCTGTGAGTTCTTGCTGTCTAAGCAGAGTAGCAGAGGGTAACTTACTTCAGAGTCTTTTATACCCTTGTTCTATTTCCTTGAAATTATAGGAAAACACATCTCTATCCTACTTGTTTAGATTCAAGTTGGTTGCTGTCACTTTTTCACTGGATCTATGCCTTCATGATTGACTTAGGTGACACTTTCAACTCCTGAATTTGCAGTCTGTTTAACAAATATGCAACATTTCTTCCTTTGTTCTGTTTGTGGCAGGAAAAATCCAGATAACTTTTAAAGTTAGTTTTTAACTTTCTTTTTATTTAGCCCATTTTTTTAGATTTTTTTTTTAACTTTTATTAGAATTTGACAGGAAATAAAATCCTGCTTTAAAAAGTCCAAACTCACCTGGCCTTTTATATAAGAGTTTTTAATTCTCATAGACACTTGGACTTTAAGGTCAGAAGGGACCATCATGATCATCTCTAGTATGACCTCTCAAAACAGTCTTTTAAAATTAAATAACTCTTAAAAAGCCAAAGATCTCAACGCTACATGACAATTTTTGAAATGATGATTTTCTTGTTTTCCTCCACTCAGGGTTTTCTTTTGCACTGCCAGTGATTAATTATTTAATTCCCCTTTAATATAAATATTTTGTACTTAAATGTTTTCCTAGATTAGTAATTAGTCTAGCATCAAATAACCTATGCTATGTTTGTACATAAAAATCTTACTATTCATATAAAAATATCAGGAAGTTGTTATATGAAGGCTTCCATTTAGATGCAAAATATTTATAAATATTCCTATTAAAGGTTATGCCATTTTAAAGCATTTGAGAAACAACAAATATTTTCACCTTTAAGTGGCAACATGATTTGGAAGCAAACAGTAAAAATTTCCTACTATAAATGTTCAAGTTTACAGAATGAAGACTTTAGTGTGTTTAAAAAGAAATCCTTTTAATAAGGATATTTCTAGAATTTTTTGTGTGGATTTAAAATTAGGGTGTTTTTTTTTTTAAAGGAAAGGGAGAGGGTGGTTTGGTATTTGCTCATTTTCCCTCTAGATTTATTTCTCTGACAACACAAACCTGCATTTCTTTCACAATCAGGTTTCTTCCTAAGTGTTTTCATGGTTTAGCTGCTTGATGTTTGTTTTCTTGTCCTCTGGAGCTAGAAACAGAAACATTGTAGAACTTTTGATTAGCTTTAACATAATTAGCTAAACAGGCATATTGTTATATTTTCAAAGATCCTGGCTATAACATTCTTGTAGTTATATCTTAGTATTCAGTAGAGGTGCAAATAAGTTTGTAATTTCTTAAAAATAAATGATAATTATTTATTAATAGAATTTTTGAATCAATATTAAGGTATTAGCCCCCACATATACATGCATCGGTCTTCACAGCTGAGGATGTGAGGGAGATTCCCAAACCTGAGCCATTCTTTTTAGGTGACAAATCTGAGGAATTGTCCCAGATTGAGGTGTCATTGGAGGAGGTTTTGGAACAAATTGATAAACTAAACAGTAATAAGTCACCAGGACCAGATGGTATTCACCCAAGAGTTCTGAAGGACCTCAAATGTGAAATTGCAGGACTACTAACTGTAGTCTGTAAACTATCATTTAAATCAGCTTCTGTACCAAATGACTGGAGGATAGCTAATGTGATACCCATTTTTAAAAAGGGCTCCAGATATCTTCCTGGCAATTACAGGCTGGTAAGCCTGACTTCAGTACAGGGCAAACTGGTTGAAACTATAGTAAAGAACACAATTGTCAGACATATAGATGAACATAATTTGTTGGGGAAGAGTTAACATGGTTTTTGTAAAGGGAAATCATGTCTTAACAATCTACTAGAATTCTTTAAGGGGGTCAACAAGCATGTGGACAATAGGGATCCAGTGGATATAATGTACTTAGATTTTCAGAAAGCCTTTGACAAGGTCCCTCACCAAAGGCTCTTAAGCATAGTAAGCTACCATGGGATAAGAGGGAAGGTCCTCTTATGGATTGGTAACTGGTTAAAAGATAGAAAAGAGAGGGTAGGAATAAATAGTCAGTTTTCAGAATGGAGAGAGATAAATAGTGGTGTCCCCACAAGGGTCTGTACTGGGATCAGTCCTATTCAACATATTCATAAATGATCTGGAAAAAGGAATAAATAGTGAGGTGGCAAAATTAGCAGATGGTACAAAACTACTCAAGAGAGTTAAGTCCCAAGCAGACTGCGAAGAACTACAAAAGGCTGTCTCAAAACTGGGTGACTGGGCAACAAAATGGCAGATGAAATTCAATGTTGATAAATGCAAAGTTATGCACATTGGAAAACATAATCCCAACTATACATATAAAACGATGGGGTCTAAATGAGCTGTTAAGCACCCAAGAAAGAGATCTTGGAGTTACTGTGGATAGTTTCTGAAAACATCCACTTAATGTGCATTAGTAGTCAAAAAAGAGAACAGAATGTTGGGAATCATTAAGAAAGGGATAGATAATAAGACAGAAAATATCATATTGCCTCTATATAAATCCATGGTATGCCCCCATCTTGAATCTGTGTGCAGATGTGTTCGCCCCATCTCAAAAAAAGATATATTGGAATTAGAAAAGCTTCAGAAAAGGGCAACCTAAATGATTAGGGATATGGAATGGCTTCTGTATGAGGAGAGATTAATAATACTGGGACCTTTTGACCTTGATCTGACAGCTAGACATGCTGTCAGATCAAGATGAGGTCAGAAAGACAAGCTGAGATTTTAGTTTGGATAGAAGGTGATGGTCTGGAGAAGAGAGGTAGATCTATGGGTTGTCAGCATACAGATGGTAGATATAGTTGTTTTTCTGGATAAAATGATCCAGAAGCAAGGTGTAGAGGGAGAAGTGAAAGGGACCAAATGGAGCCCTATGGAATCCCCACAGAAAGTTGGAGGTGGGGGATGAAGAGGTTCTTTCAAAGGGCATATTGAAGGAGTGATTAGAGAGGCAGGAAGAGAACTAGGAGAGGACAGACTTCATTCACCATGCTTCTCTTCTTGATGCTGAATGCAGCTGGTGGGTCAAGGAGGATGAGGATGGAGTACTAGTTCTGAGATTTGGCTAGGAAGAGGTCAAGAGAGCTTTGATCTGAGCGATTTTAGTGGAGTGCAAACAGAGGTAGCTGTACTGGAGAAAGTTTAGGATGCTTTCCAAACATTCAAGAAGAATCATCCTCATTCTGAAGAACTTGCAATCAAAGGACAGACGAGTAATAATGTCTAAATGAAGGGAACTGGAAAAATGGGCAAATTATATACAATGTATATAACTTGATTAACTGTCAGTAATTTACATTACTTTTGGCATTGCTACTATGAATCCACCATAACTTTCCCCAAAACATACCATGATGACAAACCTGCAGCCTTAATTAGAAAATATTGTCAAGTACCATATGTTTCCTATTCTCTGAATGTCTCGTTGATATTCAGTGTTTGATCTTCACTTGACTGAAAGCTCACAGTACGTATTGTTTATTTCAATTTTAAAACCATCAAGTTCTACCAAGATAAATTACCAGTAAGAAAAACAAATATTATATTAAACTAGAATTTGCAGGATGTGCACTGATTTCCCCCCCCCCCCCAGCATTTTATGCATTAAAATGCCCTGGTGGCAGATATATTTTCTTTCTTCAATATTTATTATTACTTTTCACCTGCCTTGAAATGGGAATAGAAACCACTTTGATAACTAGACTCCCATGTTGACTAAGTTCACTGTAGCTTCTGAAAGTTCCTTCATCTTGTTTGGTGAACCACTTTTATTGGACACATCTCGGCCAATCACACTACAAGCTTAATGAACCTGAGCACCAGGGGCCGAGGAGAGAAGGTGCAAGGTTGGAGCAGGAGTGGCTGGAGGTATTGTGTGTGTCTGAAAGTTGAAATGCCTCTAGAAACTCTCTGGATGAGTGTGGGGTGGAGTAACTCACAAGTAAAATGAGCTATTCTCAGTGCAGCTACCCTACCATGTGAGCGTGGGGGGGAAAGCACCGAGGCATTGAGGAAGCACCCCTCAGGAGCTGGTAGCTCTACTATCACCCTTCCCTTCTTTACTAACCAGCTCTTTTTGCTCCCTGGCACTGGAAGCCAAATTACACCTGGTCCATAAATGGAAGTGCTGGTGTGGGGGCTGAAGGCATCCCCGTGCTGTCTTTCCCTTATATCACCCTTGTGCAAAGGAGGCATCTGTATTCCCTACTCCTCCTCCAGTAATAATCCTCTAGAGGCACTGTTTTGCCTGTTTCTCCTGTTTCACAAAGCCTCTGCTGCTATTGAACTCTGGTTGATGTATAATGAGCCTGATTTTTCAACCATTGTTCACTTGCACTCCCAATGACTCCAACATTATTTTTATTTATCAGTTGTGTTTCCATAGCATTTGGAATCCCTACTCATGGACCAGATCCCCATTGTGCTGGATGTTGCCCAAACACAGAATAGAGGTTCAGCATGCAGAGGAATCCTGTGACTGGGCCAAATAGCGCTAATACATTCTGATGCACATACAGAGGCTTAAACATTTTCTAGCTTCTGCCACAGGAAGGTCCTAAAACTTAGTTGCCCATAGTAAAAACATGGGGAGAAATCCTGGCTCCATGAAGTCAATGGCTAAATTCTATTGACTTCACCTTAGATGTCTGCAGACCACTTCTTTACATTTATCCAGACCACTATAATCTTACCATCTTGTTCCACTGAGACAAATATTTACCACGCTTTAGTGATTTTTATCATTAATTTTAGCTGACTGTTCATATGCAGCCCAATAGTTCAGAGGGTATTTCAGGTTAAAATATTATTAAATTAATATCTTTTCCTGTATTATAGATAATACCTCAGATTACTAACATGGAAAGAATTATTAAAATCTAATTTATTTCTAATTTGCTGTTTGTTTTATCTTTGCATGCCTCTGAACTTAGTTTCTCTTCTATTCCTGTTCAGTTGCACTGTTAGTTTTCCATAGAATCATCAAAATGTAGGTCTGGAAGGGACCTTGAGGTCACACACCCCTCTGCCTCCCCCACCCCTCACCCCCACATTGAGGCAGGATAAGAATAAATAGACCATCCCTGATAGGTGTTTGCTAGGCCTGTTCTTTAAAAAGTTCCAAGGATGGGGATTCCGCAACCTCCCAAGTTAACCTGTTCCAGTGCTTAACTATCCTTATAGGTAGAATGATTTTCCTAATATATAACCTAAATTTCCCTTGGTGCAAACTAAGCCAATTACTTCTTGTCCTATCCACCATGGACATGGAGAACAGAACCGTTCTCTTTATGCTCTTTCCTTTTACATATTTGAAGACTATCACACCTTCCCCCACATCCTTCTCATCTCTAGACTAAGCATGCATAATTTCTTTCATCCTTTCCTCATGAGTCATGTTTTCCAAACCCCTTATCATTTTTGTTGCTGTCCTCTAGACATGAGTACAACAGAAAAACTTCAAAAACAGACTCCAACGAGAGACTGCTGAGCTGGAATTGATATGCAAACTAGATACAATCAACTCAGGATTGAATAAGGACT